CCAGAGGCTCAGGAGGGAGAGAAAGGACAATGAATGGCTTCCATTCAAGGAAGCTTCCAGCTGTTAGTTCTGCCAGCAAAATGCCAGCCAGAGAGCGAAACTGCCAGCAACAGACATTTGGATGGCACTTTGGAGCCCATTAAGAGTAGAACCTGCAAAGTGATCATAGTGAGAAGATATTAAGTGAATTGATCATGTCTCTAAAAATGAGTGTCCTCAGCACAGAGGTGACTCTCTCTTTTCCCAGCCCTCCCCAGGGTGGCTTATAGCCCCTTGTACCTGGGAAAGGTGCCCAGCCTGTGCTGCCCTTGCTTCAGCCCCTGGGGGTGGGTGGACGGTGGCCCCTGCATCTGAGTGGCTTGTCCAGGTCACCAGGCCCCTTTGGGAAGTCAAGCAAGTCTGGGCCCAGTGTCAGTTTGTGTTTGGGGAGGACTGGCCTTGTGTATCCCGTTGTCATAGGGAGCCTATCACAGGTGCAGAGCTTGAGAAAAAGATGGAGAGAGGCTAGAGCAGCGGTTCTCTACCTGTGGGTCAAGACCCCTTTGGCGGTCGAACGACCCTTTCACAGGGGTCACCTAAGACCATCCTGCATATCAGATATTTACATTACGATTCATAACAGTAGCAACATTACAGTTATGAAGTAGCAACGAAAATAATTTTATGGTTGGGTCACAACATGAGGAACTGTATTTAAAGGGCCAGAAGGTTGAGAACCACTGGACTAGAGGCTTCTGGATGTGGAAGTCTCCCTCTACTGAGGTTCAGGGCAGCAGCCAAGCAGGGGAGCCCCATGGACTTTTCCCAAATACCTAACTGGGTCTAGACAGTGCTGCCCCTGGGCTGGGTTCTCTCTCCAGGATCTGGAGGGGCTAGACCTGTAGAACTGACTTCTTAGCTAGTTCTCCTGGAAGAACCCTGGCATCCTGCCCTGGGGCACATGGGGCTCAGTGGCTCCCCATGGCAACTACAAGCGTGCATGGCATGGCAGAGGGGACTCTCCTCCTCAGTCCCTGTAGCAGCTGTGAGGGCCAAGGGTCAAGAACTTTTCACCCGGTTTGGGGTGCTGATCCTCCGGGCCCCTGCACTCCAATGTCCTAGATCTCATCATTTCCCCACCTTCTGAACGGAAGCTGGCCCATTATACACATCCCTCCCCTCTTATACACATCAAGAAGCTGAGGCTGAGACAGGCTGGCAGTGTAGAGCAGGGGTCCTCAAACTTTTTAAACAGGGGGCCAGTTCACTGTCCCTCAGACCATTGGAGGGCCGGACTATAGTTTAAAAAAAAACTAGTCGGCTGCTAAGCAACAGGCAGCGGCAGCAAAAACACCCGGCGGGCCGCATGTGGCCTGTGGGCCGTAGTTTGAGGACCCCTGGTCTAGAGAGACAGAAGGGCTCCGAGCGTGCAGGAAGCCATGTTATCTACAGCTAATCTCTCTCTCCTCTGCTTAAGGACCCCACAGGCCTGGCAATGTTAACTCCCTCAACTCACGCTCCCAGGCCCTCAGAGGTGGCCACCTGCCTCTCAGCCTCATCAGCAGAGAGAGATGGTGAGGGACCATCAGGGTGAGGGACATTGCTCCGGCCACCCCAAGAACAGGAAGGGACAGCTGTTGGACAGCCTGGAAGAGAGGGAGATGAAGGAATCTATAATAATGAAAGCATAATATGCTAATTAGATAAGATTGACGAACGACCTTCCGGACGCCATTCCAGACATCCTTCTGAACCAAGCCCCAATGGCAGGGGCCAAGGCAGAGGTAGTTAGGGGCATCAGGCAGGCAAGCGAGTGGTTAGGGGCAATCAGGCAGGCAGGTGAGTGGTTAGGGGTGATCAGGCAGGCAGGCAAGTGGTTAGGGGCAATCAAGGCAGTCAGGTGAGTGATTAGGGGTGATCAGGCAGGCAAGCAAGTGGTTAGAGGCAATTGGGCAGGCAGGCAGAGGCAGTTAGGGGTGATCAGGCAGGCAGGTGAGTGGTTAGGGGCAATTGGGTAGGCAGGCAGAGGGGTTAGGGGCGATCAGGCAGGCAGACCAGTAGTTAGGAGTCAGCGGTCCTGGATTGCAAGAGGGATGTCTGACTATCGGGCCTAAACCAGCAGTCAGACATCCCCCAAGGGGTCCTGGATTTTGAGAAGGTACAGGCCAGGCTGAGACATCCCCCACCCGTGCAAGAATTTTGCGTACCGGGCCTCTAGTCTACTATAAAGACTGCCCCTCTCCTAGGGCCAGAGGCTGCCTCTCTTCCAGGCTCCAGGGGGTTCCTCCAGCCAAGCAGCAAGCAGGTGAGCCAGGCCCCACCTTCCCAGCAGTGCCTGCATGTGGGTCTCCTGGTGCTGGGCCCACGCTGGGTCTGTGAAGGACACAGGCTGGATGCCGGGACTTCAGGCAGGGTGCTGACTCATGACTGGGGCAGTCCAGCACCTGGTTCCTAGCAGAGGCTCAGGGACAGGGTGGGAGCACCGGAGGCCCCCTCTGCCCCTCACACCCATTGCTGTGTGAGGGTCCTCACGCCCTCATCAGAAATGAGGGAGGGTTATCCCCCACCGCTCAGTGTCACATGACTTACCCATCCAGGGTGGCACAAGAAGGCCAAAGATCAGTGCCTCCCCCAGCAACTCTTCCCAGGAACTTAACCCGACTTGGTCAAGTCATATCAGACAATCCTTGGAACCAGGGGCCTCTGAGCAGGATGGAGTTAAGAGAACAGTCTGGGGGGATACACTTGGGTTGAAAATCTGGCTCCACCACTCAGTCACCACCAGACCCTGAGCTGGTTCCTTAACCACTCTGGGCCTCAGTTTCCTCATCTGGGGGGAAGGGAAGGTCGTCCTCTTCGACCGAGCGCGCAGCTTCGGGAGGGACGCACATGGATCGGTGAGGGAGGAGGGGGACACCCGCCTAGCCAGCCAGATCAGCCGAATCAACCCTGGCGATCAATGGGGTGACAGATGTCGCAGCCAGATCGCCCTCACATCCAGTTTCCTCATCTGTAAAATGAGAACAATAGTATCATTCTTCTGTGCCAAGGTTGTGGCAAAGACTTGGGTGAGATAATGTGTGTAAATAGCTTAGCACGGGGCCTGGCCCACCGGAAGCATATAATTGGCAGTAATAATAATTACTATTATTATTAATATTACTAGAGGAGGGCAGAGTCCTCCAGAGAAAGGAGCCCTGGGAGTGAGTGAGCTTGTCAGCAGTCTTCCTGATCCCCAGGCAGCTTTTCAAGTCATGCAGCAGAAAGTGCAGGGAAAGGGTAATGTGTTTGTGTTTCTAAACCACAGTCGATCCGTATCTTTCCTCTTTGGTCCTAACTCAGGCTCCCAGCCCTAGCTGTAGGTGCTCAGACGTTACAGCAGGCCCCGACAGCCACAGGCTGAGAATGAGCCAGGAAGCGCCCGCCCCGCCCAGCGTGCCTTCCCAGACAGTTCGGGTTGGCCAGTGCCCCAGTGCTGGTGGGGCTCCAAGAGCCACTGGCGGTGGTGAAATGTCAGTTCTCAGTGTCCCTGTCTAGAGCTCCTGCCCAATTTGTAGAATGGCAGCGTATGGACAACTCCCTCGACCTGAATGCCTCTGCCAGCTGCCAGGGCTCTTCAAAGGAGGGTGTGCCTGGTCCCTTTCCCTGTGCCCAGCACAGCGCCATGGGAACAGGGCCAGAGGGAGGCACGTGGATGCTGGAGGAGATGCTGTCCTCCAGGCTGTTCCTGCCACTTCCTGCACTCTTGTTCTGCCCTCTCATCCTGGACAGGGCTGAGTTGGGGGTGAATCAGAGGAGGATAGAGAAGGGGGATCACACATAGGAATTAACCACTCAGGACCTAGTCTGCACATCCCAGCCATCCTAATTTGCAGAGGTCACCCGGCCCAGGGGCGCTGACCCACCTGTAGATGCGACCACAAGTGCAGAAACGTGGGGTTGTGATGGGCCGGCGAGTCCTCTCTGTCTAGCCTAGTATCCAGTACGGGAACCTTAGCTCTAGCATACCTGATCGTTATCTGGGGTCTTCAGTGATGGGGGGAGGTGGGGTTCATGGTCAGTCTTACCTCCATGATCAGTCTTATTTGGAAATCTCTGACTCTCCGCAAACCCCATTGATGTTCCAAAAGGTAGGAGGACCTCAGGGTTACCTAGACTCACTCCTTACAGGATGAGGATGGGACTTGGCTAGTAGCCTTTATGGGATACCCAAGCCTGGATTCAAACCAAATTAAATACCAGTTCACTTTTGATAATATTCTAATGTTCACACTTTATCACAGTTCAACAGTTCAGAAGTACCGCTTGGAGTTGTCGTTTTGATATATAAGGTATTTGTATAAAAAGAATGAATTCATGTGTGCATCTGTGAGTCAGTAAAATATAATTTAGGGTGTTGATTCTAGGTTCAACAATGTTAGGCATTTCATTCTAGCTTTGGTTCATGGATCATTTCAAATCCTCAGCAACCAATAGTCCCTGCAAACCACCCCCCCACCCCCACCCCCACCCCCCACAGCATAATGGGCTTTCCAAAGCCAGGACTCCTGTGTCCCTGGGTAACTAAGCTTGGAGAAAGCCATATTTGTATCACAGGCCCCTTTGTCCTTGGCTCCGCAGGCAGCTTCCTGGTGGGGGTGGGGGTGGGGTGGGGGGTGGGAAGGGGGAGGTCAGAGGTTGGCTAACAGAGTCAGGCTAAGGTGTGGCCTGAGGAAAGAGAAAGAATCCCCTTGGGAAAGACACGGAGAGGAGAGGAGACAGAGGGTAAGGAGAGGAGCAGAGACCTGCCTGCAGCTGCCCCAGCTTCCACACCAGGCTCCCACTCACAGGCCAACATCTCCAGCGGGCACCGCCACGCTTCCCCACAGAGGCTGAGGGCACTGGGGCTTGTGGTGCAGCCAGACAGGGCGCAGGCCTGTTTGGGGCGGGCGAATTCCCACTCACCACCTTAGCTGTGTTTGGCAGAAGTCTAGAGTAAACTGTGCATAAGCAACAGAGCCCATATGCAAACGCGGTATCCATAAATTGCATTGATATATCTAAAGGATCAATGAACAAAAATGACACATGACAGTAGTGACCTCAGTTAACAACTGAAGTTTGAAGTTCCCAACAGTGACAGAAATCTGCAGTCCTGGGTCCGCTTGCTGTGACTGCAGCCACCCAGCCTCTGCCTGGGGGCCATTTGGAGTGCAGATGTGCTGAATCTCCAAGCCAGAATCCTCTCAACACCCAATTGGACACAGGCCTTCCTGGGGGCCGGGTCTAGGACAGCAAGGGTCTTCTCACTTCCCTGTTTGGGGAAGAGACAGGCAGGTGGTCCCTCCCTCCCCCCTCCCGCCTCCCCCACAACATTAATGCACAGGAGAAACCACCCTCCGAGCCAGAGGAAGCAGGGCAAAGGGCAGCCAGGAGTGAGCCTCTCCGCACAGCCATCCTGCTCCTGGGCCAGGGCACTGCTGGGCACAGCGATGGATGGATGGATGCGGGCTGTGGAGCCGAGCCCCACCGTTTGGGTGCAGGGCTCCTGAAAGCTTTCTTTCCCCCAGAGGTCCCCTACCTGAAACCAGAGGGTTCTCGGAACTGAGCAGGGTCTGACAAGGAAACTGGAATCTCGTTCATTCCAGCTTTCCTGCCCAAGACCGTCTTAGGGCCTCGTCCAGCCAGACGGACAGGCCAAGGTGGCAGGTGGCAGGTGGCAGGACTCCAGCCGGGGCTCTCCAAGGGGGTGTGGGTGGGCCCGCAGCACCTCCAGGGCCTGGAAGGAGGCGGCTGGAGCATCTGCAATGCAAATGAAGGAGTTAATTACAGAGAGGGGCTCAGCGGATAATCAGGTCAGGCCCCGCCAGGCGGCCCAGGGACCCCCAGGGACTGGGAGCCACCGGCAGGTCACAGCGGGGCATGGCTGGGGTCGGGGTCCTGAGTCGAAGGGCCCGAGGAAGCGGGAGCCCCGCGTTAGAAAGGGTTGAGCGTGGAAGCGCCCCTCGGGCAGAGAGGCTCACGGCCATGGCCACGGCCCCCCGCGTTCTGGGGCGGCTTTTCCAGGGCTCTGTTCGCCGCCGAGTCCTACCTGGAGCCACACCCTGAAATCAAACTCGCGGCCAGGTGAGGCCGGCGCTGCACCGACTTGTACTAGTCAGCGCGGCCTCCCTCGCGCTCCCGGCGCCCAGGTCCCTCCTGCGGAGGGCGGGCCTCCCTGCCTCTGCGAGGGCTCCGAGGCTTCCTGCTCGCAGGTGGGTGCCCCAGCCGACCCCTGGAACTGGCGGTCCTCCCCGGGCTGGGGCCGGGACGAACGAGCGGGCAGGCCTCCCCGTACGCGCGGCCCCTTTTCCCGGTTCTCATTCTCCGCAGTTCGGGCCGCCAGCGCCGGGCGAGGCGCCAGAGCGCAGGGCCGGAGAGGTCGGGCTCGGCGACCGGCACCCGCTCCACGAGGGCGCCCGGCGCAGGGGTTCCCGCCCGGTCGGCGCCTGCGAGGTGGGCTCTGGGGCTGCCGTGGTTCCAGGGTGGCGGGACCGGGACCGGAAGCGCTGCGCGTACTGTCCCCTCCTCCCCTTGCGCCGGTGGAGATACCGCCGCCTCCCCTTGCACCTGAGCAAGTGGCTTAGTGGGGAGGCTGGTCTGGGGCGGGTTGAATGCTCTGGATTTCGGCCATGCGCAAAATCCACACGTATGGCATTTGTCACAATGACTTTCTTATCTGTTTCCCCCCAGGCCCACGGGACTGGCCGGGAAGGTCCTTAGTCTTCCCTCTCCTGGTGCCTGAGAGCTCTGCCCACTGAAGGGTAAGGAGCCAGGAAGAAGAGGAGGCAAGGAAGGCAGCCCGCGGCAGGTGAGTGAGGGACCGCCAGCCCTGGCAGGGTGTCCAGGAGACCAACATGAGGGACAGGTTGGAGGGGCAGTGAGGCCTTCTTGGGCTAGCCCATTCTTGGTACTGCTAGGCAACAGTGATCCCCCCCCCTTTTTTTTTTTTTAAATGTTTTTATTCTAGTGAGAGAGGAAGGGAGAGAAGCATTGAGCGGTTGCCTCCCCCAGGCACCCTGCCTGGGGATTGAGCCTGCAACCTGGGCAGATGCCCTGACCAGAATCGAACCAGGGCAGCAGCGGTTCCTTTTAGGTGCCATGTCTCAGTCCTTAGTGGATGTACATTGTTACTTCCATCGCTTCAGCCCACAGCAGGCCACTGAGCTCCAAATGCCCCGCCCTGGCCCCTGGCCCAGCCTCTGCATGTCATCAGGTCTGATGCCCGTCTGGGGCAAGACAGTGTCACCAAAGCCCTGCACTGAACTCTTGCTTGGGAAAGAGGCTCCCGAACAGGAAGGGCAGTAGCAGGCCCAGCGCCGGTGCTGAGTAACGCATTCCCCAACCTGCTAAAATCCCTCCAGGTTTTCTGGCAACCAGGGTGCAGCATCCAACCCGGATGTAGATGCTGCGAGGAACACTAAGGGCCGAGACATAAAGAGCTCCCAAGACGTGGACTGCACTCCCTGTATCTTGCCCCCTCCTGGCATTCTCTTGGGCTCGTCTGACGTGCTTCTCTAGGTGGGGGAGTTGGGACTGTGTGTGCTCAGGTCTTTTGTGGCGGGTGCAGCATACACTGCGATGCTGTGCGTTCTCATGCCGTGCACAGGACAGCGGCTGAGCACCCATTCGGAACCAGAAAAAGCGGGGTTCGAATCCTCACTTCACCTTTGATCGCTTAGGCAAGTTGCTTTACTTCTCTCCCAACTTGAACGTCCTCGGCGATAAAATGGGGAGGATCATGCTTTCCTCACGGGATAGTTGTGAGGAGTCACAGTGAGACATGAGAGCAGCCCAGCAAGGGACCATGTCTCACCTCCACTTGTCAGTATTGGAAAAGCGGAAGCTACCTGAGCGCTCCTCGCTTGGAGAACTTGGAGAACGGTCTGACTGTGTAGCAGGACATTGTGGAGGCCGTGAGAGCAAAGCAATGGGAAAGCAGTAAAGGCAGAGTGTCCATGGGGGCAGGTAGTGAGGCGGCGCGGGGAAGGGGCCATTTCTGGAAGGGGATCTGAATTTGGAGGCAGAAACAGCAGCATGCTCTGTACATGTCACATATGGTCACATGTTCATGGGTGATCCTGGTCACAGGTGTGGCCTGGGGTAGGAGGAGCCTCTGGCTTGAGGCTTTCAGTCCTATCTCTCAGTAGCTGTGTGATCTGAGACGGGTCATTTAACTTCTCTGGGCGTGACAGAGGAGAGGGGCTTGGAGCTTGGAGTTGGAGAGATCTGAGTTTGAACCCCAACTCCACACTTACCACCTCAAACAGTTACTTCTCTCCAAGCCTTGGTTTCTTACCTTGCAAAACAGAGCTTATAATATCTCCCTCATAGAGATGTGACCATTAAATGCACTAGTAAAAAGCACCCACCCAGCACAGTGCCTGACGTGTACAGTGTATATCCCTTTCTCATCTCCTCCTTCCTCTCCCCAGCCTCCTGTCATCTTTAAAATGCACCCAGTAAAGCAGGATTGGCCCAAGTCACAGTGGTATTGTGAGCATAAAGTGAGGAGGAAGACAAAGTAAATATAGAAAGTTAAGGGCTGTATAAATATAATCATGCGTGTGTGTGTGTGTGTTGTGTGTGTGTGTGTGTGTTGTGTGTGTGTTGTGTGTGTGTGCGCGTGTGTGGTGTGTGTGTGTGTGTGTGTGTGTGTGTGTGTGTGATTGGGGACCTAATTTTGTGAGTAGGGACTCTAGAGGTTCTTTCTAGGCATTGAGAACTCTGGTGAGCTCAGGCCTCTGCCTGCGGAGGCTGTTGAAAATCTGGGCTGGTGAGGAGGTGCCTGGCCTGCGGCCCTCCCAGGAAGGCCATTCTTCTCTCTTCCCTTGGAGATAACCCCGTGCCCAGGAGAGCACAGCACTGTGGACCCAGGAGGGGGTTAGAATTTCGAGTACAGCGAACAGAGGTCAGAGAGCTCTGGCTGGAGCTGCTGCTGGACCACAGCTCTGCGTGTGCAGGCTGGAGCCGGGCCTCAGAGGCGAGCCTGAGTCAATATTAACCTTCTCTGGCTGGCCAGCCTGGCTCTTTGGCCTCTTATTCAACTGGAGTGTTGACACAAGTGATTGAATGAGCTTTATTATCATATTCTTTTCAACAGCAGCCCCATTATCTCTCCCCTGGGGATTCACTGGGCCTGCAGTGTGGGAATGATGACAGGGGCAGGGAGCCCAGACGTGTGGGCTTATTGTGTGCACAGTGCCCTCTGCCCTGTGCACACAGCTTCTCTCTGGGCCACTCCAGGGGGACCACAGGACCTGAGCGCTACTCGGCATCCTGGGGACACTGCAGCACAATGGTCCTGGGCAGACCTTACAGAGGCCCAGGCAATGGCAGTGAGGGCCACAGTCTGGGTCTAGGACCCACGCCCCTGTAGGTGACAACCAGGCAGAAAAGCAAATCAAATTCTATTCAAGCCTTTCCCTGGCATATTTTTGGGGGCCAGGAAAAGTGTGCTGAGGTGCCACCTCTCCTGACACTCATGTCATATGAAGAGGGACAGATGGTGTCCTGGACCCCTGGTGGCGGCTGAGGGAAGACAGAGGGCAGGGGCGCTGGGGAGGGGGAGGAGCTCGCCATCAGCAGACTCCCTGAGCAGTGTGAGAGCAGGGACGGGCTTCTGTTGGGAAAGCCACCGAGGGGCTGCAGTTCGGGCCGGACAGAGGGCAGCCCAGACCCCACGCGCGAGTGCCTCAGGGCGAGCAGCACCATCTCTTCCGGCAGGTGGTGAGCTCAGGAGGGTGTCTAACGTCTAAACCCTTTTGAATAAATGAGTGAATCGTATAATTTTATATTTAAACAAACCCCAGAAAATAAAGTTTGAGAAAAATCTTCTGACGGATGAGAATCCTCTAATGAGAGGCTGGCTTCCGTCCACACTGTCGTCCACCAGGGGCCGAGACCCACACGGCCCCTCAGGAAGGGTGTGGGGGATGCCAGCTCCCAAGGAGGCGTGAGGAGGTTGGGCAGCCCGACTGCAGGGGTCAGCGTGGGAGGGCAGGCTCTGGAGGGGACAGGGTCCTCTGTGGTCACTCTGTGACTGGATGGTGACAGCAGCAGGGGCGCCTGTGTGATTGCTGTCATTCCTCTGCCTCAGTGCCATGGTTCTAGAATGGTTCCTTTCCCAAAGCAGCACCTTGGGTGGGCCTGAGAACTACGCAGCGTGGGTGGTGGGAGGGGACAGCCGACTGCAGCCAGGTTCACATCAGGATCTGGGTCAGATAGACGTGGCTCTGCCTCTTCTTTGCTGCTTGACTTGGGCAAATTATTAATCTCTCTGAACATCAGTTTCCTCATCTGCCTAATGGGCCAATAACAGTCTTACCTCACAGGCTTGTGGCGAGGAGATTTTGTATGTGAAATACTCAGTGCATAGCCCAGCTGTGAGGCTCAGTGGTTGCGTGTTGACCTATGAACCAGGAGGTCACGGTTCAATTCCTGGTCAGGGCACAGGCCTGGGTTGTGGGCTTGATCCCCAGTGTGGGGCGTGCAGGAAACAGCCGATCGATGATTCTCTCTCATCATCGATGTTTCTCTCTTTCTCTCCCTTTCCCTTTCTCTCTGAAATCAATAAAAAATATATATATTTTCTTAATTAAAAAACTGTTCAGCCCACAGCCTGGTGCTCACACTAGGCATTCCCTGAGTGGTGGTTACCGAAAACACCCAAATGGACCCTCAAGCTAGAGCAGATGCTGTCTCCTCTCATTGTGCTGGAGAAGCCGGCAGGGGTGAAGGAGCCCATTCCCTGGTCACCAGCTGAAACCTCAGGCCTTGGAAAGAGAGTAGGTCACAGCCACAAGCCGCTCAGGATCCCCGTTCCCTGGGGCCACACTGAGCCAGAGCTCAGCTCTGATTAGCAGGCCCTGAGCCTCCCGAAGAGGGAGCTGGGGTGCGCCCCCCACTCTGGCTCACTGGCACTCAGAGCAGGGCCCCGGGTGCAGCTGCCTCCTCTCTTCCATTCGCCTGGCTCCCTTCCTAACAGACAGTTAACCACCATCCCAGAGCTTAACCCACCAAGCCCACCCCCTTCAGAGTAGCTGTGTGCTCCTTTAGACTTGCTCTCTGGAAGCCACCTTCCCAGCCTGCAGAGAACTCTTGCGAATCCCTTCCGTGGGCTAAGTGTCGTTTCCTTGAGAGGGATTTGATGTGTGGAAATAGTAAAACCCACTCGAAGCCAGGCCTGGGAGGCAAGGTGGCTAACCAAGTCAGACACCGCCGCCTCCGGTGAAAGCAGAGGCGACAGGCTAGGAGAACAGTTGATGTTGGCTCAAGATGGCCCCCAATTGTCCAAAGAGAACTTCTGGAAGTGCTGGGGCATGTCTCAAACAGAGTCACTCCCAAGGGTCTGCCTCAAAGGGCAGCACTCATTTGAATGTCTGAGCTCCAGTCTGAGGTTTAAATGCAGACTCATTTCTCTGTAGCCGTGTCTTGGGTTTGTGGGGCCCTACAGCGTGGTGGCCCTGGCACCCCAGGCCCTGGCAGATGATGGATGTCCTCCTCCCAGGGGAGAAGCAGTTCGAAAGGGTGGCCCGCCCACCATGGCTGCTCTGCTTACTCTGTGATGGACTCAAGACCGGCCAAGCCACAGTGCCCTGCTCTGAGGGCCACCACCCAAACCCCATGTGGCCGAGGGGCAGTAGCATCAGCCACGAAGCTCTGCCTACCACTCCTCGAGCCACGCCTGTGGGTTGCCCAGCTTCAGGCTGAGCGAGACCCTGTGGAGGGGACCTGACCTTGCTGGAGAGAATCCACTCCTGCTGCTTTTGAGGTGCTTTTCGTCTGTGCCAGGCCCCGACAGCAAGGCCG